ATTACAGCAGGAAGGTGTAATATCAGAAGCTGACGTGGCTGTCTTAATGCTGGGTAAAGTCGATTCCAAGATAAAGAACTCAAGTGGAGATAAAAGCAAGGCATGACATGATAAAAAGGTCAATTCACCGGGGGGGAAGACACAAGAGTCCAAAGTGTGATGGACCTCTGTTCGGGCTCAAGCCCAAGAGACTATAAAAGTGACCAAGAACCAATCTGAGAGATATCAGCTTATTTGCATTCAGCGTGTGCGTGTGTGTGTGTGTGCGCGTGCGCACACACACAGTTGCAGAGACGGAGATTGCTTACTCACCCGGATGCAGAATTGTGTCCAGCTGCAGACAGCTGGACAGGAGAGGACCTGCTCTGGAGGCAGTTGTGAAACCTCTCTTTATGGTGAGGCCTTTGAACTGTGCTGCCAGAGAAGAACTTTGAAAGTACCATGCACCCCGCTAAAACATCAAACAGATCTGTCTTGGAAGAAGTACTGCCAGGATGCTCTTTAGAGGCAAAGGTGTAAAGACTTTTTCTCATGTACTTTGGACATGTCGGGAAAGACCAATCTCTGGAAAAGGGTATCGTGTTTGGTAAAGTAAATGGGCAACGAAATAGAGGGCCTTCTGCAAGATGGATTGACACAGTGTGTTAGTCTGGGTAGACCAGCGAAACAAATCCATAGACACTCAGGTGTACAAGAAGGAGCTTTATGTAGAAAAGCAGTTGAATAGTGAGAATACATCCCAGCCCAGGCCAGATCAAGTTCGATATTAGCCGATATGTCCCATGCCAATCTATAGATTCCTCTGCAGACTAAAGAAATACATGCAATGACTCCGAATGCAGGAAGATCACAGTCCAGTAAGTGGAAAGTCTTGTGGATCTAGTGGTGTTGTAAGCATCTCAATGCTGGCAGGGGGCTTCACGTGGCTTCTCCTGCTCCACAGGTCTGGCTCCATCAGTGCCTCTCCATGTGTCTTCTCCACAGGGATGTCTTGCAGGAAGCAATCAAGTGCCCTGCCTCCAGTGTGCTATTTATCTCCTTAGTGCCTCCAAATGAGGTTATCAAGCTACTACCTGATTGACAGGCTAGACTCCACTCCTTCACTCTGAATCCTCAAATTGACACTAGATTATGTAACTACCACACACAGTGACTGTGACAATCAGTTGAAAACTTTTACATTCCTCTTTCAGCAATTAATAGAAAAAAGGCCAAAAAAAATCAATGATATAGATTTCAACATGGTATGTTATAGGTAGATTTAATGGTTTGATCACTGTTATCTAAAACTATCTCATTTTTAGGTAGTACTTAATAAGCTGTATTTTGTGGCAATCAGGAGCCCTGGTGGTACAGTGGTTACGCATTGGACGACTAACCTCAAGGTCGACAGTTCAAAGTCATCTGTAGCTCCTTGTGAGAAAGATGGGGCTTTCTACTCCCATGAAGAGTTACAGTCTCAGAAACCCACAGGGCCAGTTCTACCCTGTTCTGTAGGATACCTATGAGTTAGCATCCACTCAGTGTAATTGGGTTGGGTTTGGGCTTGACACACTGGTGAATTGGAACATTATTGTACCAGTTCATGAAATCAACCAAAAATTGGCAGGAACCCGAGCCACAGAAATATGACAAAGTCTTCGTGCTCCAGGATGTCTTGATGTGTCAGTGAGGTGGCTTCTCTTATGACTGTGGCATTGTCATGTTGACAACACTTGTGTTTTGCTTTGCTAAGTGGTCACTAGCGCGGGCTCTCACTGTTGGTAGAATGCTTTCATCTCTGTGGGTGAGATGTGCAACCGCTCTTCTGCCAAGTCCAACACGTCCTCCACAGCGACTGCTACCAGGAGGCGATGCCAGGGTTTGAGCCTCTCCTCTCAGTTCTTGTCTTGCTTGTAAGAAAGCATGCAGGCAAAGGATAGCACTCCGAACAGTCAGAGAAGTGTTTTTTGTTTTAAATCATTTTACTGGGGCTCATACAACTCTAATCACAATCCATATATACAACCATTGTGTGTCAAGCACATTTGTTGCCCTCATTGTTCTCAAAACATTTGCTTTCTACTTAAGCCCGTGGTATCAGTTCATCTTTTCCCCTTCTCCCTCCCGCCTCCCTCCCTCATGAACCCTTGAGAATTTATAATTTTGTCATATCTTACACTGTCTGAGGTCTCCCTTCACCCACTTTTCTGTTGTCCGTCCCTCAGGGAGATTATATGTAGATCCTTGTAATCAGTTCCCCCTTTCTACCTCACCTTCCCTCCACCCTCCAGGTATCGCCACTCTCACCACTGGTCCTGAAGGGGTCATTTGTCCTGGATTCCTGTTGTTTCCAGTTCCGATGTGTACTAGTGTACATCCTCTGGTCTAGCCGGATTTGTAAGGTAGAATTGGGATCATGATAGTGGGGGAGGAAGCATTTAGGAACTAGAGGAAAGTTGTATGTTTCATCGTTGTTACACTGCACCCTGACTGGCTCGTCTCCTCCCCGCGACTCTTCTGTAAGGGGATATCCAGTTGTCTACAGATGGGCTTTGGGTCCCCACTCCGCACTCCCCCCTCATTCACAATGATAAGATTTTTTGTTCTTTGATGCCTGATACCTCATCCCTTCAGCACCTCGTGGTCACACAGGCTGGTGTGCTTCGTTGCTTCTGAGCTAGATGGCTGCTTGTTTACCTTCAAGCCTTTAAGACCCCAGATGCTGTATCTTTTGATAGTTGGGCACCATCAGCTTTCTTCACCACATTTGGGAACAAAGTGTTCTTGCATTGAGGGAGTACTTGAGTGGAGGCCCGATGTCCATCTGCTACCTTAATCGTAAACCTATATACACATAGATCTCTTTCTCCATCATCACATATAAATATATTTACATATGTACATGCCTGTATTTAGACCTCTATAAAGGCCCTTTGCCTCCTAGTCATGTTGTGGCCTTGTGGCCAGGCCCCCATTGTGGCCCTCAAAGCAAGAGTCACTGTGGGCATTGTGTACAAGGTATGGGTTTTCCCCACCCATACCTTTTCAGACCTCTTTGTGCTGCGCAGGCAATGAGGTGCTGTGCCTCCATCTCGCCCTATTTGTGGGATTCCTTTAATTTTCAGCCTCTCTGTCTTAAGCCTGGTGATGTTTAGCTAACATTACTTTCTGACAATGGCCCCTAAGAAATAAAGTTGCTGGATTTGGCTAATACAAATCAAGGGCGCCCAGCTAAAGTTTTATTTCAGGTCAACAGCAAACTGTATTTTTACTATGGAACATACATACTGTATCCCAAAATCAAACAAAGAACTTTTCAGTAACTGAAATTGAAACTTAAGTTTTGTCTCCTAGTATTTCAGCATCCCTAGGGAGGTGCCCTGGTGATGCTGTTAAGCATTGGATTATAACCATGAAGTCAGAAGTTCAAATCCATCAGCCACTCCTGGGGTGAATGATGAGGTTACCTGCTCTCATAAAGATGTACAGCTTCAAAAACCCTATATGGGGTTGGTATACGTCATATTTGACTCAATGCCTTGTGTGTGCAGAGAAGGGGTGTGGGGGTACAAATAGCACACACTCCTAGCTGCTATCTGAAAGGGCAGGGGTTTGCATCCACCCGGAGCTACCTGAAAAGAAAGATGTGGCAATCAATCTACTCCTGAACAATCAGGGATTGAGAATTCTATGGCACACGGCGCAGCTGTCACACACATCGGGTTGCCATGAGTCAGCACTGCTATGACAGCTCTTTGGTGTCTTGTCTTTGACACGGCAACCCGACTGAGGAAGGGTGCCAGAGGCTGGCTGGGCGCAGAGGTACGCAGGCCGAACTCAACAGCAACACAATCCACCCAGCCCCGGCCTCTGCTCGCTCTCTCCTCCTCCGACAATCGTGCTTGCACAATAGGCCGGGAGTAATGACGAGACGCGGTTACGGTGGTTCTGAAACAGGGTTTTTATTTGCATATCTCACAATAGGCCGGGAGCAATGACGAGATGCGGTCAGGGTGGTTCTGAAACAGGGTTTTTATTTGCGTATCTTCGGAAGGCCGGCCACGCGGGGAGAAGACTGTGACCGACAAGCAACGGCAGCACGATGACACACACGCGACTACAACGTCCTGCGATGGTGAAAAGGAATCGCGTTTGGAAGCCAAGACAACCCCTTAGAAGATGTGCCAACAGTACAGACACTCGCAGGCGGGATTTCCGGAGCCTTCCCAGAGAGGCGGTCCTGTCCGCAGTGTCTGCGTTTCCGCACAGGAGGCAGATTCCTGTTGCAGAGTTGGCAACAGCAGAACCTCTAAGTCTATCTTTAAGAACAGCAACGACCAAGTAGAGCGTTAAAAATGCAAGGATCCTGGAGAAGCTGTGCCCAGCTTGAGAGTAAGTGGAAATAGATGTTTTTCACCTAAACCTCGTCAGTGGGAGCACACTGTATAGATCCTTTGCATTCCACAGTTCAAGACCCCCTCATTTTAAAGAAGTGCTTTTAAAAAGCAAAATTTTAAAGCTTCATTGCCCTGGCAAAACATCTCGACAATCATGAAACCACAGAGCCTTGAGACATGATAGCAATTAGTCTTGTAGCGTTTTATAGAAACTATTACATGCACAGATATTTTGAAACCTTAAATGCAATTCCCACCACCCCAGGAACAATAAAAAATATAATCTAAACAAAGAAAAAATATATATATAGTCTCTTCAGGAACCAAAACACCTGAATGGCTTTTTGGAAAAGAATGGCAAGGATGTTTCGCCAAGTCCAGTGTCTTATGGCAGGTTTTCCTATTTCGCACTCAGTAGCTTGCTCTTGCTGCCAGCTAGTTGATTCTCACAGTGACCCGATAGGACTGGTGGGAATGCCTTGTGGGTTTCTGTCGCTGTAACTCTCTATGGGAGTAGAAAGCTCCTCTTCCCCCAGGGTGGTTTCGAACTGCTGATCGTGCCTCGGGTCAGCACATAACCACCACCCCGGCAGGGCTCCTTCAGCCCCCCTGGTGGTGCAACACTCAAGTGCTCTGCTGCTCACCTAAAGGCTGGCAGTTCAAACGCACCCAGAAGCTCTGGGGAAGCAGGAAGAGGCGATGTATGGGTCTGCTCCACGCTGTCCCATGGGGCCGCTACAAGAGAGAATCCATTCGACAGCCAGCAAACAGTGGCCACAGGACGCCGTTTTCAGTCATGAGCAGTCAGTCCAGGGCTCTACGACATCAGCACAGAATCATCACATCAAGCTTAGAGTTGCAGGAATTTGATAATCTTTGGATATTTTTGGCATTTGCAGATGAAAGAATTGTCAACTTCAGTTTAATTGCACAACTATTTACTTGCCCAGATGTTAGACCCTGAGGATACAGAGCAATGAATGAAGGAGATGTGGCTCGCAGCAGTGATGACTGTAGACTATTGATTCGTTTAGGTACTCTGAACACCAGCAGTTTAAAGGTCATGCTCCCTGAGTGTTGATTTTTAATGGCACAATATTACTATAAACAGAAAAATTGATGTATTGCTATGGATTTTGCCCTAGATTATTCAACTGGATTTGAAATGGTCAACATTTCTTATATATGCAGAAGACAAGGAAAAGTTTGAGTGTTATTTTTAAAGTCATACAACACATCTACCCACCCCAATGCCCTCTCTCCCAAGCAGGAAACCATACAGTGTGTTCTGATCATGTCAGCACACAATCCAGCCAGCTTCACAGATCACAAAGGTCCTCTTTAAAGGAACGAAAACAACCAAATCCATAGCCCAGATGGATGGTCATTTCTAGGAATCAACGGGTTGCTGATGATCTACCGGTTGTAATAAATATACGGTCTAGAATTCAGATGGGGTACAGAGACCCAGTCTGTGGTTCAATTCAATGGACGATGGCCTGGATCCTCTCTTCATCCGGTTTAAACGGTTCAGACAAACAGTACCCTCACTCTGTCCTCTGAAAATCACAGGGCATTTCTAAAACACATTCTGGGAACCAGGGTGATCCCTTTTGCCAACTGTTGAAGGAGAAAGACCGAAGTCCAATATGTATGTATCTCTGTCTAGCTGCTGAGGAGCCAGGGGAATTGAAACCGTGAAACCAGGTGTGGTCGGTTAAATTCTGGGCCCGGTTGTGGCTGGTGGCCAGGAGGAGTGTGTGGGACGGTGTTGCCCAGTGCTATGCTGGCGCTTCCAGTGGGAGGTGCGGGCAGGTAAGGCAGAACTAGAAAGCAGACTCCTCTAAACCAAATTTTGGCACAGGGCCTGTCACGCTGGTTCCCGAAACCTTGACCTTTCTGGTCACCACGGAGGCTTCCACGGGAGCTTGGTAACTGGCCTGCAGAGTGGAAGCAGGTGTGAGCACCCTTTCTGTCACTGTTACGTTCTGTCCCATCGCTACCCTTGGCATGGCCAGAGGGGGCTGCACGCCCGAGCCGGGGGCCAGGACCCTCTCTCTTTCCCTCACCATGACGTAATGTGCGTCTGGCAGACACTGGGGGACTTGGAGAGGACTCAGCACTCCCTCGTTAGGCTGAATGACTCGTTCAGTGAGCAGGACATTACTTGCACTGGCCGAGTGCTGATCCATCACAGTGGACGACGGCGCATAGACCCTTTCGGTCACGATCAGCCCCTGTGGTTGTCTGGCGCCCAGGAGGGCAGCGCTGGCCGGGATGGTGGAGCCTGTGGCATAGGAGGTTTCTGTCACTAAAAGACTACTAGGAACCAAGGGATCAGGAAGAGGGGTAGCTACCTGATGACCCTGCTGAGATGACACGGACCTTTCGGTGACTACTTCCTGAAACACTTTCTCAGTATTTGCTGCGTGCACAGGTTTTGCCACATGGAAACTACTGCCAGAGGAGGCGTTTCCGGTGTGAACTACCGTTTGCTCAGCGTGTGAACGTGAGGCTGTGCTCACGCTTGCTTCTGCAACTGATTTTTGCCTCTGCTCCATGTCCACGTTCATATCTATTTTTTGCCCCATGCAAACTTCGGCCAGGGTCTTGAACTTAAGTCCCAAATCATCTAGGAAGAGGTCATCTAGCTCTCCTTCAATGAAACTGCAACAGCCAAGGGACCCATGGGGAGAGTCAGGGGCTTCCTGAGAGTACACCATCAGGCAGTCTTTGGCGATGTGAAGATCATCTTCGTCAACGTAAGAGGCTGCTTTCTAAAACGCACAAACAGAGGCACATCGTTAGCAACACATGTTCATCGGAGAACAAGACCCCTGGCTTGGGCCCCAGTGCATAAACTGAATCTAGTCATGAGCTCACACCAGAGAAATACAAATTGAGGGACAGCTTAGAACACCGCTTCCCTGAATTCTTAAAACGAAATTATTTTCAAGAAGGACAGGGAAAGACAGGCTTCGGATGACAAAAGACTGAAGCGTCAGGACAGCCCAGTGAGATGCAGCAGCAGCCTGGACATCGTTAGGGGAACTGGCAAGTTGACACATGGAGTGTGTCAGAGTGAAATGTTGGGATTTGTTAAATGTATTGTAAGCATGATGTGTGTGTGTGTGTGTGTGTGTGTGTGTGTGTGTGTGTGAGAGAGAGAGAGAGAGAGAGAGAGA